GGGAAGTAAAGGCGGTGAAGACGGGGGGGATGAAGTCAGGGGTGGTGAAGTGGCTGAAGCAGAGACAGGGGAGGCAGTCGTAGGTGAGACCCGAAGAGGGGACTCTGCAGGTGGTAATGCAGGCATGGCCACGGATGCCATGGAGGAACGCACCGAGACTAAGGGCGGCACAACAGATGCGGTGGTCACGGATGCCATGGAGGAATATATATATTGAAAGAAAAACAAAAGAAACCAAAAACTAATAATCAATCAATCAATCAATAACTCATTCAATCAATCCACCACGTGGTCGACGTACCGTTCGCCAAGAAAGTGCTTGTGGATGAGAAGGACATGTTTGTAAGAGAGACAGTCATAGAGCAACATGGTTGACGGTGCTGCGTTCTGTGAATTGCAGCAATGTGTAGTCCAACTACGAGACAAGCGAATATGCGGTGCGCGCCAATGATAACCCAATTTTACCATTCCACGAAACTGGAAAGCGACAAGGCTGTGTTTTATTACCAGTCTGGCAACCCCGTTACAGATGCTGTCGATGAGGCTGCAGGTTACTGAAATAGGGACGAGATGGAGGATCTTTATTTTGTTGTATACGTGGAGGAGGATCGAGTTGTCAGACTGACAACAAAGACTTATATTCGTTGCCACGCCATTGAACACATTCGGGTGCTTATGTCTAAGCCGAATCGATCGTACTTCACTAGCAAAATCCTGAAGTCCGTGAAAGGTGATCAAATGTATAATATCGTTTGACCCCTTGTGCATCGAATACTCTCGACTCATTATGGCACGGTCAGTCGGGCGGATTATGGCGCCTTGTCGTGAGTGAACCTTTTTTTGTGCGTAATGGCGAGGATTTTTCTGGGATGTTTTATCCTTGATGTGAGATCCGATGCGGACGAGCCCTGATTTATTGTCAATTTTTTTTTTCTCCTATATTTTCATTCTTCATTACGAGCGCGAGCGACGGTTCTATTATTGTGCAGCCATGCAAAACAGATGACGTCGACAACACACAACGCCCAATCACAGATTGATTGCTTTATTGGTTTGTTGATTTATTGATCGTATGATATAACAATTGTTTTTTTATTTTTATTTTATTTTTGCAATTGAATGTCGCTTTGTACTGATAATTTATCTGAATCACACAATAATAATATCACACCTGCCACCTGTCATACTACACCGTCAAGCAATCATTCGTTCGATCACTCTTAGAACTAAATGCGGGTACGTAAAAACTTATTTGTTCATTATGCGATCATTCAATGAATCATTCATGCAATACATAAGTCGGTCAATCAGTCAATCAATCTATCAATCAATCAATCAATCAATCAATCAATCAATCAATATATGTCATACATATTGTAATGAAGGGAACTGTTCAGAAATCGTATTGATAAAATCCAAAGAACGTACGCACAACACGGGGAAGTTGTCTGGTCACTAAAACATTCGTATTCACAAACACACACACACGTTGGCTCGCGATGTGCAGAAGTCTATAACAATGAAATCTGAAGAAAACAACACCGTGGACCGCAACATTCGGGGGAGGCTGGCGGTTGTCGACGAGAGTTTGCGCTGTCCCGACGAATCTATGGAGGCAGTTGCTGCAAGTGTGCGTGATGTCGACGCCACTCTCGCTCGACTGCAAAACGCTGACAGCTGTGGAAAAAATGACGGAAAA